GCCATAATACATTTGAAATGCCGAGAAATTTAACATCCATGTGTTGCACCATTTCTCAAGTGAATCGAGGTCTTCTTGAACGAGCAGCATTGCGCTATGGAGTTCATCTTGTCGAAATTTATAAACGATCTTTATGTCATCGGCGAACAAAAATGGCCTGCCATGTTTTATGAACACCGTGATATCGTTAATATAAAGTAGGAAAAGGGAAGGACCAAGTACACTCCTTTGGATGACACCACCAGTGATTGGACGTGAGGACAAGTTATGATTACCCAAAGTGGCTATTTGGCAACACCCATTTAGCTATGATGTCAACCAACGAAATAGTGGATCTCTGATTCCAAATGACTTGCTTCTTTTAAGTAGCTTCTTGTGCGGCCCTTTGTCGAAAGCTTGATACATATTTAGGAACAGTATTATAAGTGTATATTTGGAGAAAATGGCTTCTGTGATGTAATCCAGGTAGTGCAACTGACACATTGTACAGGGACGTTAATCGAAGAACCCATGCTGGGATTTGTTAAGCAGCCCACGACGATGGATAAAGTCCATGATTTCACTTTCAGTTAATTTTTCGAGTAATCTAACGATGACGGAATTATGGTGGATAGGTCGATAATTAGTGCTGTGCTATTTGGGCCTCCATTTATTATAAGCGATAATAAACACTGTTTTTCACCGATTCAGAAAGTAGCTAGGTCCTAACGACGGGTAACAAAATTAATGCTAACAAGTGCATGGGATAGAAGGAGTTTAAAATAGAGAATATGATGATACAATGAAAAGTACATTGGTGGACTCACCATAGCGTTCGTATTGAGATATGCGTAAAATAGCCAAGATTTTCAAGTGACAAAGATATAAATCCACTGGTTGGAATTTTGGGGACACTGGTTGCATTAGTTAGCCCCCTGGCTAACACAAGTTATAAGATGAAATGCCAATGAGACTGTGCTTCGTCAACTCGTCTTTTAAATCTCGTTAGATTTGTGAGATCGTTTCTCTACTGACGCAGTCGAAGGGAGAAGAAATTTCGGCCGCATTTCAGGCGGCTATAATGTATTGTCAGCTTTAACTGATGGCACCTCAAGTTGGTGTTGTGGTTCAATCCCAGCAGCGGATGGCAAATGTGGCTGGGATTCTTCAGGATCTGATGAACTATAATGAGCCCCCCCCCCCTCGCAAGCGCAGATATCAGCTGCTGTACACTCCTAGGGACTTCAGTTTAATCTTCTATGGCAGATAAACGAGTTTCCTAACGTACTTGGTTTCCTTTCGTTGAGGAGTCGCGAGAGCTGCCATGTCTTATTTCTGTCACGGGTGCGACGCCTAGATGTGGTATTCCACGTGCGATCGCAGACAGGCGTTAAGCATTTGTGGGAAGATTGAGGGATCAAACCGAACGTTCCCTGAAGAAAGCCGACGTGTTGATTGCCAGTTCTGGACGCTTTCTCGAACTTTCGAGAGGCCGAGACGGTCCTGGACCAGTATTCCGAGGTTACGCTCATGAGACGGCTTCTGTAGGGTGTGTTCTCTAAGCTTGTACACGCTCATCGGCTGATAACGCAGGCAAATCACCTTGCACTTGGCTGTGTTTAACTAGAGTAGGCTTCTCATTGACCACTCGTGAATGCAATCTAGGTCACATTGCAGAACACCGTGGTTTGGACACATGCCAGAATGTGATATCCTCCGCTATTTATAGCATCTGCATTTGTCCTTCCTTACGTCGCCAGGATTGTCGTATATCTCTTTTCCTTTTCAACTTTGTAATCGAAGGGATCCTGAATGACCGTTCTTTCAGACTACCGGAGTACTTCTGCCAGATGACCTGAAGTACGCGGAAGACAACTTTTCTTAGATCTGATGCAGTGGCTATGTAAACAATACTGGATAGAATATTGCATGGTACTGCACGCCTTGGCATGTGCTTTGCAAAGTACTGCTGCAGAACTGGAGCGACACACCGACACTGGCTATCACCGAACAGCCACTGGAAGTGGTGGATCGGTTCACTTATCTTGGTGTCTGTGTCACCTCTGGTGGTCACATCATTGATGAGGTTACTTCGCATATTAGCAAGGCCCGTGTGGCTTTACAGTGACACGGCCATCTGTGGAGACGGCGGGATGTCAGCCTGTCGGTGAAGGTAAGGGGTATAACGCTGCGGTAATGCCGGTCTTACTGTATGGGTCAGAGACCTGGCCAATTCGCGGCGAAGACATTAAACGCTTGGACGTGTTTGACCACCGGTGCTTGCGGAGTATTGCTCATCTCTGGTGGGAACATCGAGTGAACAATGCTGAGGTCTGCCTGTTGGTTTTTGGCGAGCAACCTGATGCCTCACTCGACCGTTTGCTGAGTGCTACTCGCTTACGTTGGCTAGGCCATGTACTTCGTATGCCAGTCGGTCGGCTTCCTCGGCTTGCATTATACACCTTGGTTGCAACAAGTTGGGTGGAACTGCAAGATGGCCACTTTATGACGCGAAGAAATTGACTGAGAGACTTGGTCAGGCTGGTGCGTGTCGTCTTCGTGGGTGGGAGCCTCGGGATAGTCCGCACCGATGGTCGGAGACCCTGTCAGACATGACGCAGTCACGAAGTCAGTGGCGTTCGTGCATTCGGTTTCTTGCATCTGGCGGTTAATTTTCGTTCTACCCTGACTAGTTTAACGCACTTCCTTCTTGCATCCATTTTATCTACTTTTTATTTTGCATTCAACCCCATTATCTTGCCGTTGTTATTTATTATTATTCTTGCGATGTGAGTCGGGGCAACTGGATTCACCTCACTTCGGTGCCCGAGTCATAGTTGTTTAACTGAACTGTACTTTCTGCCCTTCGTTAAACGGAGGTCATATGGATTACCTATTCGCCTCATTCTTATGATTGATATGAACAGAATGGCGCATTATTTACTACATTGCGAAATACTCCTGATGTAGTACCCAATATTTCACAAGGATCGAACGGGTCACCTGATCTGTCTGTCGTTCTTACCGATGGCTTTGAGTTTATAGCTTAGCCACTGCGAAACAAACCTCTCGGTCGACAGCTTTCACTAATTACTTATCAGACGGCAACAAGTGCATTGCACCATCACTCCGCATATTTTTCTCTTCTCACCTAACGTATCAGGTGTGTTTCCGCGATTGATACGACCTCGTTGTCTTTGTTAGTGGTTGCTACTGCTGTTCTCCACGTGACTTAGCACGGTAACGGCATTCACTTAAGTACGTTCATCTTGAGTATGGGACCTAGCTGAGCCTCAGTTATCTGTGGTAGGTAAGGTATGCAACGGTATGTTGAAACCAATGCCGCCGGTTTCTCTGTGCTGAAAACGTTTGGAGAAAATGGCCGCGTTCACTTACCGGTGCTTGCGAACGTTTTCTCGCAACAATGATCGCACCGAATGGGCAACGCCGCTGTTTAGCGATCGGCAGCAGTTGACCGTCCTACGAACTTGATCCACCCACTTTGGTTTAATACCTGTTTGCACCTGCCTGCTCATCTCAGTGCGTATCATTCACCAATACTGTAATTGTTTAGGTGCCATTCAGTCGCGACTTGTCGTCGCATGGCAGCGGATCTTCGGTATGGCGTGCCGGCGTATTACTGATTCTTTTTTAAGTGAGGCTCTAGGGGGGCCGATTGGTTGTGTGCGAAAACCACAGGGACAACGTAACTTACAGACGTGGTGGGTTCCGTACATGTCCTATTGCATTGAGTGAACCAGATCATCCGCATTGATATCCACTGCGCTCCCACATAGTTCAGTGGCAATGCAATCTATTGCTTGTGTCTGTTTATCTTTCCGTAAGACGAGCGTGCGATTTGCAATAATATCACTAATGTTAGTATTCGCTCCCAGCATTTGGAAACAGCAACGCCGAATACTCTTCAGTATGGTGTCAGTGATTGCCGTTCACTTCCAACTGAATCGTGATCCGCATTGAGATTGTGTGTCAAAATGGGTTTACACGGCGGATACTCCAAAACACAGCATTCTGTTTTTACTAGTACTGTAACGAAGCTGTACGCTATCGGGCGCGTCCCCAGGTTGCGGATTGGGGAATGCCTTCCTTGTGGAGGTAACTGGGAATAAGCCTCGTCTGCTTTGCAGGCGAGATGAATAAGCAGTCGCGGACAATCAGCGGTAGTGTCTCAGAGCGTGGGGAGTTCTGGGCTGGTCATCTGGTTCTCCATCAAATACCACATGAACCCGTACGGCACTGTGTCATAGCCAATGTGACTGGCTATAGGGTCACTGTCCACTTACTTCTGTAACCATAAGTGAGTATATAAAGGAGAGCGGATGAACAATCTTGCTGGCCACCGGCTTCTCTGTAGACTGCTACTAAACACAAAGTAGGCGAATGAGCCACCCGGATCTCAACGGTTTTCCTTAACCACTCAGCTTCCTTATGGGTTAGGTCTTAAGACCAAAGACTCGGGGTGGGATCCCCTAAGTCTACCCTCTTCCTCGGCCTGGGCAACCGGGGAGATCTATGCCCACACAACACATTAACCTACTAAACTTTCAAAACCCTTTCACTGACTATCCGTTTTCCCCTCTTTTTGTCGTTGTTAGCTATGTGTTGTGGCATTGCCAATTGTACATTGGTCAAGTGATAATAATAACGATAATGAAAATGATAACTGTCGTTATTACTGTGATCCCGGTCTTGGCACCGGATTCAGTGCATTTCGGTGCTCGAATCAAATTTGTATGGTCGCAATGGACAGAACATCCATTTGGGGTTGAGGCAACTACATTTCCTGCACGGTCTTAGATTTTTCTTCCTTCTGAACGACACAAGAGTAGTGCAATGATGCAGCATTTTCACATGTTTCCTGTTTGATGTTGTGAGCTTTGTTAGCGTGCACGTTTCGTTTTTAATATATATATATATATATATATATATATATATATATATATATATATATATATATATATACTTCTTATCACCCTCTATTTCTTTTCATACTTACTCAGTGTCAAACGACACGGACGTGCACCGGTTCAAAGGTCGAACAGTAATGAATGAGACAGAACGCTATGAGGCTGTCAGGCACTGTCGTTATGTGGATGAAGTGGTGACCGATGCCCCGTGGACAATCACCTCCGAATTCATTGCAAAGCACAAGGTACTTCGACTTTGGCATACTGCACTGCTAGGGTTCCGTTCACCTCGATTACATTTTTATACTCGATACCATGGTTGTCATCCCTTCTGTCCACCACTACCTTCTCCTCGTTTTGTTTCATTAGATCGATTTTGTTGCACACGATGACATCCCATACGCATCCGCTAGTTCTGAAGACATTTACAAGCCATTGAAAGATGCCGGCATGTAAGTTACCCCTTTCACTAGTAGCCCTCAGCTTTTTTCGGCGAATTTTACCGCACTTCAGCCTTGATAAAAATTCCCCCTTTGTGCATCTCTGCTTTTAGCACGCACCTCTTCCTGCAACTGCGTCTCAGAGATATATATTTGTCATAATTAACGTTCCAACTTCTTCGATTGTTTGATCATTGCGCTTTCCATATTCTTGCGGTGTGACGCAAGGATTCCCGCCGTCACCTTTTTTTCTTTTAACTTCTTTGACGAAGTCGTGGAGATTACGTTCACTGGACACGACCTAGAGGGTGTGGAGCTGCTTCCTGGTGAACAATTTCTTGACTTAGAGTGCGCCAATGACATTGTCCCTATCTGGGACAGCTCTCAAACGTGCCAAGTAGCACTGGACAAATTAGCATTAGCTCTCATTTGTTTTGGGTCATGCCTTGCTAACCTCTTCACCAAGATTGGCAGGGACCCACCCCTGCAGCTTTGGTGCCGTCAAAGTTGGAGAGTATTTGACTCAAAACTTCAACATCGTAATCCAGACTCGAATTCGGTCAACGCAATACACCTCGAAATCGGTTATTTGCAAAGACATAGGCGAATCGCGTCTCCAATGTGGTCGCACGCTCAGTCATGTAGGTTCGGGGCTATCCGTCTGAGACCTCTAGCTCTGGTAGATCCCCTGAATGTTTTGGGCGACGCTTCACTTAAGCGAAGATTTCCTTCGTGGCGGCCTTTGCGAGCTGCTTTTCAAAATGCCATCGCCTGATCGTTTTTGCTCTTTTGCAAACATTCTGTTGCCTTTTATCGTTGGAATCACCAGAGACGGGTAGTTTGTCTCACAGTCTGCACAGCCGCCGGGCTCTATTTTGCCTTGCTCCTTGTCAAACCAATGTTGCTTGACTGGTCCAAATTTCTGACACTTCAGCGGTACAAACTGAGAACACAGCAATGCCACTCGTTTATAATTACCCGACAGTCTTCCACAGATGTAGATTGCGGTAAATATTAGTCCACATGGCTAGCGGCCTGAGTTAGGCCATCGAAGTTAGTTCTCCAGTAGTTGTAAGGTGGCTGCAGCGGACGGGAATACGGTAAAGATAGATCCATACTGGCTGTGGGTATTGGGTGATCGTTTGCTACCAGGGCCTCTAGGACCCGAACATCCTACACATGCTGTTCACAGTTTGTTAACATCAAGTCTAGGCACGATAGAGTTGAGCGCGGCGTTATTACATTCGGTTGTCATATGTGTTTCGCTGCTCTACTTTCATGTATTAAGTCCACGAACTTTGTTTCGATCACACAAATGCGGCGCATAAGCTTAACTTCAGGCCAACGTATCCGAGGACAATTGAAATCACCTATGAGTGGAAACTGTGGATGACTCATGTGGCGTCGGTGATGCAGCAGCCAATCCAAACAATGGCTCGGGGGACTTCGATAAAATGCTCTTCGCTTCTGAAGTGGATCGAGCACCACAGGTGCTCACACACACCATCATTGCTTCTGTAGACGTTCACAACTCTCCCATACAGGGAAGACCGGATGTAGAGCAAGACGACACTGCGGGCAGTGGATAGTATGTCACAGCGGAAGCATGAGTAGCCACCGAGTTCGATTTCCTGGGCTTATCACCTCAGAATTCAGCCACATCTCTGCGAGTCCCATTACGGCTGGTCGCTCAGATGTAACCAAGCGAGAGAGTCCATCTCGCTTGTTCATAAGACTACAAATGTTGGTAACGGCTATAGGCAGGTCGCAGCAGGAACTACCGGGCGTGCTTGAAGTGTGAGCAACCTTACTGTCCTGAGTGACTGGACCTTGGAAACGACCCGAAAATTTACGACACGAGATTTGTTTCCCCCCTCGACTATGGCCGTATACGTGTTTCTGTTTGGCTTTCTGGTACAATGCATGTCTCTGATGTGAGAAGTTAGTTTAATTCACGGTATCTCCTGGTTTGGCTGCATCTGATCACCCCTAGCAAATCACCTATACTAAACCGATGAAGCACGCAAATCTTTTCATTAGACGCCATCTGCTAGGCGCCCCTAATTGCAAGCAACACGCACAGAAGTGCTTAATTCATAAATGCACGTGAAGCTTAAGAGTTACAGTTCTTACGTTTGGCTACCGCTTTTTTCAACCGGAATTCCATCAGTTGCCTGATGTTCCACCCTATAATTCCATCGATTTCCGATTTTGTTAACATGGAAAATATCGACGTCACAAATTTTCCCTATTTGTGATCATTATGTAAACCTGCGTCCTTTCTGAACTCTTCGAGATCACGTAGGATTAAGTTACTTAAAGGACTCTATTCCTTCATTAGTTTGGCAATCCCATCCCTCATCACACCTGTTTGCAACGTTTTTCGGTTGACAGTGATTGACAGGAAACACCCCTCGGTTGTTTACTCGTCAAGTCTCCTACGATCTCAATCTCCACCGTAAGTTAGCACGCGGACCGGCTTCGTCTGATTCTGTATGACCGCTGTCTTCCGGTCCTCCGCAGATTTACCTTAACAAGAGTCAGTACATCTGATCTCACCAGCGTCATTTCGGCAAGTGTTTTGACTCTCGAAATGTCTGCGCTTTCTCCTGACACTCATCTTGCTTCTGCGCTTCTCGTTGTAGATTCAGTGACGTAGAGCTAAGCACTTTACAATCCGAGCATTTAATGCACCAGTGCGATAAGAATTCGTGCACATAATTAAGTCTTTGTAGAGGCGGTGATCATCTATTAAGTTTGTTTCATCTGTTCTGAGGATCAGCTTAAGTAGATTTGATCAACGGAAGTCCGCTTCACCCGTCGTAATATCGGTTGGACCGACGTACGGCGGGCCTAGAATGAAGCGTTTCATCATTATCGTCTCGACAGATCAACCGTGATGTTTGTTAAAGCGGCTTGTATGTTTTGTTGACTGGCGTGAGTGCGATTTCTCTTCACCCACCACAGGGCTTCATTGTGTTGTTGACGAAAACGGTCGACACTTGTTAACCGATTAGATTAACATCTGTGTTGGTGATTCTGCACTCATGCCACGGACGTGCTCTGAACGTAGAGTTCATGCAGTTTTGCAGCGTGTGTGTGTCAACGGAGTCACTTTGAATTCACTATAGAACGCCTGTTACCGAACGACGCTGTTTGTTTGCGAATCATTACATGCAAAGGGTATTATCGATTCTGGCCACTAGAACTGAATTGTGTGCGTCCTGTGGGGACAAGCGCTTTTCGGCATTTGATGTCTGTCACTTCTGTTGTGTTACTTCTCACAGGTTTCTAGCCACACAACGAACTGAAGGCATTTCAACTACGGACGTTATTGGCCGAATTGTACGAGATTACGATGTATACCTGCGAAGAAACCTACGGCGTGGTTTGTCTCGTAAGGAGTTGAATATTAGTTACATGAAGGTGATTATGTTCACCCATTGTTGAACTCAAAGTTCGTTTTTCTTCCCTCAGGTTTGACCGGTTCACCCAAATGCGTCAAAGGACTGCAGTGTTTAGACGGTTCTTGGACCATTGTTACCCGTACCTCAGTGGCTGGCAATCTAATGTCCTATTAATACATACTCACTTGTTTAACTAAACGTAACAAAACAGTATTCTGCGCATACCTTAACGACTCTTTGTTTGACTTAGCTATCCGTGTGCGACACCGTATTGCATTAATAATTATTTCAAACTTCCTACGTGTATAGCCATAAATCTGTCGGCGTATTTTGTGGAACATTCCTCTGCATACCACGGAGGCAATTCACCACCACTACTTTATGTTTGGTTGTTAGAATTCTCTGGTTCTCCATGCAACTTTCCAAGTCCCATTTGCACACTGAATAGCCATGATGAATGAGGGGTAGCTCACGGCCTACACTCCGTAAGCGGTACGTAATTCTCCGTGCTTACTTACATTTGTCGAAGTGTTTTTCCAACGCCACTTAATCTGAAGAAGTTGCCACTCGGCTCTTTCTTTCCATCAAATGACCAATGCTAGAGTTCAGATCACCCACCTATCGTCCGAGCACCCGCGGTGAGGCGCAGAGACTGAAACGTGTTCAGCATACAGCTACCGGGCTCATCCCTATTTACGGGGGATATCGTCCCAGGACCGATAGAGAAGAGTGGGACTGTAGGTCATGTCGTGTCGTCCGCTTCGTTTCGACTTCATAACGATGCACTGGGCCACTTTCCTCTAGTAAGGCCGCTTCCGTACCTGCGCTCACCAAGCACTAAATGTGGACGCCAGTACACGCTATTAGCACCGAATATGAGGCGGATAACTCACCGCTTGTGCCTCGAGTGTGGCATGGTGAACTGTTGCAATATCTTGTCCGAGACAGTAGCCGATGCGAAATCCGTGTCAGAATTCAAGAAATTCCTAGACACCCATTTTTTTGTTTACAGATGCCTAAATTGTATGGCATTTAAGTAGAACACCTCAAAATTATAATATGTTGGAAATGCACCGAAATGGGTGACGAAATTCCGCTGTCGTCCCCGATCCACTTTCTATCGAGCAAAACATATATGTCTTCTAATTGCACTATTCAGTGCGTTTACCACAGTGTTAGTCACCGGGAACCGAGGTGCTACCTCAACAAATTGACCATCACAAAGTCAAGTTTTGAACTGCCACCTTGGAAACGACCTTCCTTCCGGATATCCCAATTAAATGGCGCGTCAGCACCAACTGCGACATCACATCTCCTGGTTCATAAAACTTCTCGGAGATTTCGATACTAGGTCGTGCCTTGTGCCTCATTCAAGCATCTCGATGGTTACTCGCTCCTTCTGTTCTATTTTGCAACCTATCTCTAGCCTTGAGCTGAGCGACAATCGCGACTTATTACCTGTCATCTTCATCATAAGGAGGACGCGGTCCCCGCATACAGTGCTGTTGTCAAAAGAAGATGCTACCTAGCACAAATTTGCTACAAACAGCAGGTTCTCAATGGGTTACAGCCATCTTGCCGAACAATAGATTTCACTAGTTTCTTGCCTCACTCGACTCAATTGCCGATAGGTATACCATTCGCAGTCCTGTCAGAATGAAGCACTTCACTTGCCTGATGGTCACCACAACCTAATTCATTGCTCTTTCAAAAACTGCTGAGTCGAATGTCTAAGGTTACTTCACTTCAGCTTTGTAATTGACGGTGGTCATTGGAATGTTCGGTGCTATTCTCGGGGTTTGATGATCCTGTTCCATGCACACGTTGTTTTGGTATACCCGCTCCACATACACAATACCTCTCTGTTCAACCACCGTCTAGATTGCTGCTTGAAAGCTCTTTTTCCTCCTGATCCGAATTCGCATGCCTCTGGTTTTTCTCGTCTTATTTAAGGGGTAATTCTCGAGGGAATTCATTTGGAAAACCATTGCGAATAGCTGCAGCAAACTGGCTACTGTTCACTTTTTAGTAGGCTATCTTTTCACACAAATAGTTCAGTAAATGTGGCTTTTGCTGCTATCTATCCAGCGTCGCACTGTGGCACCTCTCGCGCCCGCGCATTGCTAGCAGTTCAGGCTAACGATCGTGTTACGTGAAAGCAACATTCTTTTAGGCAGCTCCATCTCCATGATCGAATTTATTATTGCTTTTAGATTGAAGTGTTCTCTCTCTTATCATGACAGCTCTTGTTCCTCTGATTACTCAGGAAAAGAAGCTTAAGTTTCAAAACAACTTTGAGACTATTATGAGGCACGGTTCCACTTTAATACAAAATTTCGACAACAAGCGTCGGGAACTTGTCGACCACTTAGAGGACATGTCCCAAGAAGTAGTCCGCTCGTTTATGCGAATATTTGGCTCTGATGGTAGCCTGCGTAACTGGTTCCATGGCCGAATGCATGCTCTCACCGACACTGAAGATGACCGCACCTCCCCAGAGGCGGGCAGTGCAAGCGAGCTACCAGATGACTCCGACTCCTGTGACCTGTCTACTCCGGGTGGCATCGATGCAGAGTCTGCTTCTTCAGAGACTCTGAACTCTCCTAACAAGTACGTGTGGGCTGCCACATAGTTGTGCTTATTGTTCCCGTTTATATTAGTGATGGTCTGATTTATTTCGAACAAGATTTTAATGATTAATGCGATTGGAATGGCATGTTCTAGATCGATGTGCACCGAATGCACACCTGTCAGGTCTTCGAAATATCTCACAACAGTTTCTCCCAGATTGCTCACCAACATTCGCACGTCTTTCAGCTTTCGAGTTTAGCTTCACCTTGTAATTTTCAGCCTTACTCAATCCAGAGACAGCGTCCATCATCATTGCATTCTTCCGGACCGTACATGTGCAGTGTCTTCGAAACACTTGCCTAGGATCGCAGTAGTATTGTATGTACGATTGCCAGGTTCAGATTTCAGTAGCGACAACGCCGGCACACTTCGCTTTTCCAATGGAATCGGATTTATGCCTCGTGACAGTATGCGCATGTTGCGATCGTAGTCTGAATGAGTGGGTTCCGGCGAATCTCTGCATAAGTGATCTTTCACCGCTAGCGGTTATCTCCAACCTTAGTGTCCATATGGCCCTATGCTTTCGCCGTTGCAGGTGACACGTACACTGATGGGGGCTCTGAAGCTGCTGTTTTCTGTCCTACCCATGGTATTCGAACATTTCAGTTGTTTACGCGTCGCAATCGCTATTTTAGCGGCAGTGTCTTATCACAAGCACTTCCTTCACATTTTCTGACTCAAGCTGGACTGAAGTAGACGCCTAGTGTGATGTCTAAGTGTCACATATTACTGGGATCATTACTACAGTAAAACCTCCAAACTTGACCACCTCTACATGTTTACCACTTTTTCATAGCTTGCACAGTCACTATCTAAACCCTACGGAACCACACCTCAGTATGTTGACCACCTCTTGTATGTTGACCATTTGGGCTTTGACGATCAGTAATACTCCAACCTCCACAAGTTGACCACTTGTGGGCTTACCATCCAATGCTACCCGAATGGCTCGTTTGTTCCGATGACACGATTTGTGTTCAACCTCCCTCACCGGACCACATACATGGGCAAGTCTTCATTTGCCCCTGTGGATATGTGTCCACTCATCACACAGGCCGCAATCAGGCGTTTGATTGACTGCCAAACCAGAGGCGTAGCATAGGGGGGCAGGGGGCGATCCGCCCCGGGCAGCATCTTTAGTACCGTCGATTGTTCGATACAAGTTATATCGGACAAAATATCCGGATAAGCTGAGGGTTGAATATTTTGATGTTACTCTGTATGACCAACAACTCACTTGTACCATATGTCACACCCGCGCAAACATGGTTCCCAGTAATCCTTTTACTTGTCCCGTTGTGATCACTTTCACTACACCTACCTCAGTGTTCGAAATGATCATCCATTACATCGAAAACTAATCTGCACGTTACTCTGAACCGACTGTGTGGCCTTCACGCGCCTATTCTGCTCTCAGTCAGGGCGAAAATTTTATCACTGACCTGGCGGCAACAGTCGTTGCTAAGCCACTATACCAAACCCTCGTTTAAACACTAGGTCAACGCACCAGTTCATTAGCACCTTGGATTGTGGCGAGATTGACTTTTGCGCCCACATTAATTGTCGAGCGTTTATCCTGCTCTATTTGGTGTCGGGCTGAGGGTGAAACCAATTGTGGTTAGTTATTGTGTATAATTGATGTCACGTGAATAGATCCGTAAACTTTGATCTACTCCGTGCTTTGAACAGTTTAGGATTGGTCCTTATCGCCCAAAAAAACGACTTCAGTGAGTTGAGTTTGAAAGGAAAATTAGTCTGCTGAATTTTCTGGAAAGCTGTAGCTAAAGAAAGACGGTAGAGGATTTTTGTGTTAGCTAGGCAACAGTTAGTAACATCCAAAGACATAAACACGAGTAATTGGAGAAATACGATAATGAAGGAGATCTACAGCGGAAGAGGCGGGAAACTTCACACCATGAAGTCAGCGTAGCTACGCTGCGCTGGTTAAAGGAAATGACGCTAGCTAACGCTGGAATTTCTTGTCCGCTGATCGCTAAGAGGTTCTCACAAGAATTTAAAGTTGCAGGTTTCTAGGCATCCAATGGTTGGATAGAGGAATTTAAAGTCCGACATGACCTTTCCCAAAGACGCTTGTGTGATGAATCCAATGAAGTGCCTGAAGAGTTTGTTCAAGACTTCATTAAATTTTTTCTAACTTCAGCAAGGACTTCATCAATGACGGCATTTGTAGCTCTGACGAGTACGGTCTCTTTTTCAATGCGATGCCTAACAGAAGCCTTCTATACTAATAGGTGACAAATGTAAGAGTGGAAAACGTTCCGAAGAACGTTTCACAGTTCTGTTGTGCGCTAGCTCAAGTGGGTAATTCAGCTAGACCGCGTGCTTTCAAAAACCCAAATTATGAAAACCTTCCAGCCAACTGGAGATCAAACCGATCTGCGTGAATGACTGCCATATTTCAGGAGTGAATCAATAGTATCGACAAAGAAATGCTGAAGAAGAAACGCTTCATTATCCTAACCGGACAACTGTCGTAGTCACACCTATGCAAAAAATTCCACAAATATAACATTTAAGTTTCTACCTCCAAACATGACCTCACAAATTTAACCTCTGGACCAAGTGATCGTCAAAATATTCAAAACGCGCTAGCGAGCCGAGCTCATGCAATGTGCTATGGCAAAGTTACATACTTATGGTTTTCATGTAGAAGGAATTTCATCTGTTGGATGGAAATATTTCGGTGGTGCTCCTCTCAACACTGACAGTGTTTGGAGGAGCAGCACCGGTGATTTGGAGTGAGGTGGTTCGAGTAGCTGCTAATGATAGGATTGCTAACGAGAAATGACCCTGTCTCTTGACGACTAGTTTCTACCCTGCGGTTTCTAGTGGAAATCCTCCGTGACTTTCATTTTCCAACGCTTTCTGCTGCGGTATGGCTAAGAGGTACAGTGTGGCGTGCACGACGAGATCGTTCATGGTTTGCGAGCCTCACTTTCAGTCGTTAACACCAACCGAAATTGGCAACACCAAATGTAGCTAAACCAGTAGCTTGCAAAATCAAGTCGATTTTTATCATGAATCGCTTCCCATTCTTCCGCTTTAACCTTCTGTTGCCTAATAAGCTGGATCATGCATTATGATGCATCTTATGCATTTTGCAGATTCGTCATGTCCCGGTCGAACTCAAAGTAGTGGTCGCGCTGTTTCACACGTCTATCCGCTCGCGGAAGGACTTTTCGCTCGATTCGCGCTGAAAGTGGGCCTTATTACCAATCCATTTTTCTAGCCACTGAAGCTGATATGCCACACTTGGGCTTTTACCCCCAGGTTTTTAAGACGGGAAGATGGGATACAATAACTCGCTTCACGCTCTATCTACGGTCATCTTGTTGCCCCAGCTATATAGCATTCGTTCGTGAAACTCATTGTGCCCACGATTTTGTCAGCCTTTAAGACAAGCAGACACACGACCGAAAATCTCGCAGAGCGTTCACGGTTCTAACTACTGTTCAATGAATTGCTGCGATTGGATGAGATGCCTTTGTAGACCTAATCGCGGATACATTCTTCCTTTGTAAGTGCAGTACGATGATATAGCATGTGTACTTTAACCACATTTACATGGTGTGATTAGATTTCAATATGCGGTGGCACGCATGTTTCGCGTCATCCACGCAATCGCCCATACGCTTTTCTTGGCACACGCATTGTTCTTACTATCTTTTGTATTGGAGATGGAGATATCTCGCATTTTTCGTCATCTTCTGTCGGGAAATTTAAAGGAGACCAAACTCATAAGTTCGCCTTTTGAGGAATTTGGTGGCTGGCTTTTTCCGATTTTTGTCCTCATAGAGTCAAAGGAATGATTTAAGTTACGTTGATGACTTTGATGCTTCGAGCGCACCATGTAGAAGGGGCACACACAGAAGTTATTTCACTGAGAACCGCATTGCCCAATCTGTTTTCAAAAATCCGATGCCCTACACCTGGTCACATTAGAGTGCATCATGTTCTAGGTGATCACATGTATTTCGTGTCAATATCATGTTACTGTGTATCTCGCTGTTTTGATTTTCTACCATATCTTGATTCCCTGAAAGGTCAGCAAGAAGTGTGAGAGGTGATCACTCGCGAAGTGGTCTATAAAACCACGAATATGTGCGGCTCTACTTCTGTTGCTGCAGGTTGGGTTGTTAATTTCAAGGTCAAAATCCATTCTATCATGCATTGTGATCCCAAAACGTTATCCGCAATTGCAACTGGACGATTTCACTTCTCGTTACTCACAGAGTATCCGATGGAAGAAGAACAAGCATTCGCAAACGCGCAGTGAACACTTGGTCTGCACCTATCCGAAATGAGATGAAGCACATTGAGGCTCACGGGCACAGTTCAGAACCATGCCGACAAACAAAATTGCGAAGGACCAGTTCCGGCTCCGTGGGGGAAGAACCTGCAGTGACCAACAATTCACGTGTCCGTATTAGTAGGCGGAGTCCATTGAATAAATATCGATCCGCGACAAATCGGCGGATCCGTACGTAGTCAAATGACGGACTCCTAGCTTTGACAATTTGTGGATGAGAAATACTATATCTATATATCGCGCTGTGATTCACTGGGACCTCAGTTCCTTCTTGCTGGTACTTTACGGAGCTATGGGACGATAACTGACAACCATTGAGTCCGATTTTTTAGCTGTCCAATGTGCCTACTTTGTTTTCTGAACATCATATGAAAGGCTACTTGAGAACTTACCAGACTTGTTGCTTTGGAGGGGGGGAGTGTTGTGTTATAACTACATAACTACAGTTGCGGTCCAATGTAGCTCATTCATGTAACTTTTTATCGCAAAATAATGCGACCAGTGGACTCCATTGGTCGTTTCGTGACTCCTGTGGAGTATTACACTTCTTCACAGACTGTTTCCTTTACGTCGTGTGCATGCTCTCATCTGCGGAATTGTTACCGCACATCTGACTGTTGGGTTATCTTGGCACTAAGATCACAAGCCGAACACAAGTTGCATTTTGACTGAAACGTGTCACTACTGATTCCGAATCACCAGATAGGTAAGACAACCTATCGTAAAACGATTGGAAATATGTGTACGTAGGTGGGTAACCATTTGAGTGTTGTCATGTTGGTGGAGCATACAAGCTCCCACGATGCACATGATTCAGGACAATGCTGCCACCGTTTCACTCATAACCGAACGAATGATGTTTTCATGAAATTATAGTTGCTCATCTGTTAAATTAGGTATGCTCTATGCTTCGAATCGGTTGTCTCTCTTACTCGAGGCATTGCATCGACCGAGAAACGAACCACCTCAGCAGGTCACCAAACGTCGAACACATGTGAACTACAGTGTTCGCATAATAGAATACATTTTTTCGGTAGTTTTCCCTCAAGCTCGAACGGTTTGACGTGAGGTGAAACACGCAGTCGGACAACTATGGTCAGCATTCTGCCGTCAGCAACGGCAGAGGCTGAACAATGAAGGCTGTTTGCGAGTAATAATACACTGGTCCAAGTTAGCGATTGCCAAACTAGGAAAGTACCTTGCGCCTTGTTCTTCAGTGCATACATGAGTAGCTGACTTTCTCATTAGTCGTAAACATCAACGGATTCAGACCAGAAACTGTTACCGCATCCTCCGTACTTAAGATTCAATCCATCGCAACGAGACTGAACATTAACGTGGTGTGATGGTTTGCTCGTCTCAGTGATCCATTCACCTATACTGGGTGGTGTTTGTTTGCACCTACAGAGTCACTTGTATCAGTTTGATCAATGATTACAGGTCAGACAAACTCAGTCTCTAGGTTAAGGGTTGGAGTGGTGGTGGCTCCTTACATCATAAAACGGGCTTTCTGTAGTCCAGTACCAAAATCCCGCCGCCTTGCGCTCAGGTTTTTGAACCAAAGGCTTTGGTTGAGAACCCTAACCGCTCTCCTGTCTAGGCCTAAGAACCTGGCAGTATCCTGCCCACTCAATAAACTGACCTTATATTCGAACGATTTCTTGATGCTCTGGCCATCGTAGGGAACAATCAACGGTGCTCTAATTGCTACATCGAGCAGGGTGGATAGGAGTTTGGACGCTACTGCTCAGGGCTTCCCGTCTTCTTATTCCCCCTCTTGCGCTTTTTCATCCCTAGCGTCTCGCTCCAACTTCACTTTTACCTTCACGTTTCCAATCCCCTAATTTTTGATCCTCTTCCACCTTGCTTCAGCACTCGCTTGTCTTCTAGTTTCAGCTCACACAATCGCAGAGCGTCGCCCCAGTCTATTCGACAAGTCAATGTTCAACCAAGCGGACAACGTCAGTTCATCAATTTCCCTTTGGAATCCTCGACCTTCGCTAAGTGGCATGCCTCAACGTGCGCACTTTGCTACAAATCGGTCAACAGGCAGCACTTGCCCGAACATTAGAGACCCTCTCGATCGATATCTGCTGCTTATCGGAGACTCGTCTGCAACACTCGAGCTCTGTGCTCACTCTGCGATCCCCTTCAGGTGACACCAGCAGCATTTTCTCATTGCGCCTATCCAGTGACGATGCACCTTCGAGCACCGGCCTAGCCGGTGTTGGTATTTTGCCCTGAGTCCCCGGACTGAAGCTGCTCTGGTTGACTGGATTCCAATCAGTAACCGGTTGTGTGCGATCTGATTGGCTGGCTCGTTAAAATGTCGAAGTCGCTAACAGGTGTCTGTTCGTCATCGCTGCCTACATGCCCATAAATTCTAGCGATGATTTGGTAAAAGACGACTTCTATCGTCAATTGAACGAGCTCCTTCGCCACATAACTTGGTCGGACACTGTTGTGCTGGCTGGGGATCTGAACGCTCAATTGGAAAATTATCCACAGATGAGCTGCATCTGGGCGGCCAACATGGTGTAGGCCCCCGTACTGACGGTGAGCGGTTACTTCATTTGTGTGAAGATACCCACTTATTTCTTGCGAACACTAATTTCCGACACAGCACTCGCCAGTGGGTGACTTGGCGCCCACTAGCCTCGAACCAGCTATGGACGCAAACCGATCAGATTGTGATAAGTTACCGATGGAGAGGCTGCGTCCAGAACTGTCGCTCGAGTTGGAGCACATGTGTAGACACCGATCACGCACTTATATGTACTGACCTGCGGATGCGCTTTGGCGGACGCCCAATACGACGTTGTGAGTGCATTGACACCAGCCAATTGGCGAAACCAGCTGTTATGAATGCCTATCAAACTACGCTGTCATGCGAGTTGAATAAGCGCACACTGGAATCAATTGAAGCTCACTGGTCTCATATTCACCAGACCTTAGTCGCAGCAGGCAAATCCCCACGTGGTAAGTCTACTCGTTAACATAGTCATTGGGTGGTTTCGCAGTCTCTGGAACTTATCGATGCTCGCCGGCATATTCCGGCTGGAAGCGAACACAATGAAACTCGCAAAAAGCTCCGGACAGAACTCCGTGCTAGCCTGAAGAGAGACCGCGAATCCTGGTGGTCTCATCGTGCTTCGGAGATAGAAATTGCTGCTGCCCTCGGGAACCATCTTAAGTTATTCCGGGTGATACGGGAAACGGGCAGCATGAGACCCAGTGTTTGTGAAACTAAACGTGACGAGAGTGGACAGCCTATCCACAACTTATCAAAACGCTTGGAGCGTTGGGCTGAGCATTTTGGAAGGCAATTTAATCGGTCGGAATTGTTAAATTTCTCGCCGGCCACTGATCTCCCCGTTCCGTGGTCTGTCCCTTTGGATCCGCCCTCTCGCTCGCAGGTCTAACGTGAGATCGGACTGTTGAGGTTAAATAAACCCGCGGGACCAGATCTTTCTCCAGCCCTCTTCAAATTCAGGGAACCTGCTCTGGTGGATGATTTATACGAGTTACTAAAGAAAATATGGGAGCAGGAAACTGTCCCAACCGGCTGAAGCCGCTCCGTCATAGTCCCAATTTTCAAGGGAGGCTCACGATCGGAATGCGACAATCATGGAGGAATCAGTCCGATCTCCATCGCCTCCCAATTGCTTGCATCTGTCATCCTTCACAGACTGACTGGCACTCGTGAAAGCCATATTCGTGAAGAGCAAGCCGGATTTCGTCGAGGTCGTGGCTGCATTGACCACATCTTCACTTTGCGTCAGTTGTTGGAGCACCGTCCCATACACTGGTGGCCCACCGTTGTCGTGTTCCTCGATATCAAAGGTGCATTCGATTCGGTGGATAGACGTGCACTTTGGGACTGGTTACTTAGGAAAGGTGTACCTGAGAAATATGTAAATATTATCCGAGCATTATACGCGCGTAGCTCAGGCAGAGTGAGGGCTTACGGCAAGCTGTCGTCGCCCTTTAATATCTCCAGCGATGTGAGACAAGGATGCCCGCTGTCCCCTTTCCTCTTCAGCTTGATGAAGTCATGGAAATCGCGGACACGGCTTAAAAGGTGTGGATCTGTTCCCAGGAGAACGACTTCTTGACTTCTAGTACGCTGACGATATTGCCCTAATCTATGACAGTTCCCAGACGTGCCAAGCTGCACTGTACAGATTAGCACTGGCTGTCCGTCACTTCGGGCTTCGCTTTGCACCATCGAAGTGCAAAGGGTTCCTCCTAGGCTGACACTTGTTGGGGACCAGCTAGAAGTCTTTCAAAAATTCAACTATTTGGGAAGTTGTACCAGCGCCCGTGGGATTGAAGATGAGATCTCGAACCGTATAGCAAAAGCTCGAGGCGGTTTTGCCAACTTTCGCCACTTATGGTGTCGGCGCGACATCACTCTCGCCCGGATGGGTAGAGTGTACAATATACCGGTACGTTCGACCCTTGCCCCTTAGATCAACGGACATAAAGAGGCTAGTTACGTTCGACCAGTAGTGCCTTCGCAATTTAGCTCACATCTGGTGGGAACACCGAGTAAGCAACGAGCGTGTTCGACGCCTTGTTTACGGCACAGTAAAAGGAAATGAACCGCTCAGCACCGTCATTTCACGCACCAGGCTCCGATGGCTCGGCCACGTGTTACGCATGCCAGCCCACCAACTCCGCGACGTGCGTTGTTTGCGCGCCGAGGGTGTGGATGGAAGGAGAGGTGGCCAAGCGATGACTTGGTCAAGAGGAATGAAGGCCCTCACTTCGAAGCTGGCCTCAATTGGAGCGTCTTGGCTCCCTGGTTGGGGTCCGGAAGACGATTAACACATCTGGCTGGATACACTTGTTGATATGGCTAGGAGCCGACCTCAGTGGCGTTCGTGCTGTGAGTTTCTTTTTCCCTTCCCATCCCTTTTAGCCTCCCCCTCCAACCACGTTCTC